GAGGGAAGTGGAACCAGTGGTTGAGGGATGTGTCGAAAAGGTGGAGGAAGATCCGTCGCCGTGAAACTTTAAGGCGGCTGAAACAGACGACAATTCCTTAGCTTCCAAACTCAGCAACATTACGGGCTTCTGCTTTGAAGAAACACAACAACAGAGGTTGTTTATTGCCATGAAAGTGCAGAGCATCATCAAGAATTGAAGCATTGTAAACGCCATGGCATAGCTTCAAAGCTTTAAATCTTTTTATTTGTTTTCCCCTTTTTCTGGGATTTTGGTTTGGAGGGTCTGTAGAATTTATATATATACTAGTGTATATATAATAACCTGTATATATTAAAACGGCGCCGGCAATGTTAAGGTGGCAGAGGATGATGTTTCTGAGGTTAGACCGCGGGCGATGATCGGGGAAGATCATACGATTCTTGAAGTGTTGTTGACGTTTGATTTCTGGGTTTTGTTTGTGTCGTTTCTTTGCGGAGTGGGCACTGGTCTCTGGTTAGATGGCGTTGGGGAGGTGTCGAGAACATTCATCTCTGGTTAGAACGATGATCGGAGGTCTCCGAAAATTTTGTTTGATTCCTAAGGAAATTTTGTTTGATGTCTAAGGCAAGTCATGGAAGATACGGCTGAGGCTTGTTTGATTCCTGATAATTTTGGAAATGTGCTGGAATTGCTAGCATAAGGTTCCTTGTGTTATTGATTTCTGGCAGGAGATTTTGCAAATATTTGGGTATGGTTTAATGATGAGAGGTTGAGGAATGAGTAAATTGCATTGCTCAGATTTTAGAAGGTCAAATTGGAATGGATCTATTTGCTGCGTCACAGCTTAAAGGGCTAATTTGATTGTCAGGGAGGGCTAGCTTGGTGGCTCGTGGCAAGAACCGGAAGAGAAAAAATAAAAAAGAAACAAAAAGCCAAACAAAAAAAATTAATCAGAATATCGTTCGCTTTCTCGCTTGTAGCATCTTCGTTGCAGTTGGGCTATTTGTTCTTCACTGTTTACTCACAAATTGAAGGCTGATAAAGAATAGCACATGAAAGGACATAATTGCCCTCCCACTTCACGGCTCATTAATAACAAATGTAACGGTGAACTAAAAGTGTCCACCTTTTAAAAAGTCTGGGCAAAATGTGGCTAAACTAATAAAAACGGGCAAAATGTGTCCAATGCCCAATAAATGTAGGACCAAAAGTGGATTTAACTCTTCTCCATTTATACTTTGCCCAAATTAATTTCAAAGTGATGAATTGTTGGCTCATAATTATTTGCCTTATAAAATGATTTAAGTGATTATTTGAAAATATTTTTGTATTGAAAATATGTACTTTTATTGTGATTTAGGCATAAAAAAAATGTATATGTTTTTATTTGATTTGTTGTTATACATTACCGTATGTTCTTTTTAAAAAAAAAAAAAAGAAAAACCTACTTATTTTATTATTATGTATGCATTACCGTGTGTTTTCCTAAAAAAAAAAACTAATAAAGTAAAATTATTATTATTTGTTTCACTATTTTCTTTTACCGTATAAATAAATTAAAGTATATATATCTAAGAAAAAAAAAAACACTATATATATATATTCTAAATATTTATATGATTCAATACGCAGGTCTTGGCTGAAACTTGAAAGAATTAATTGCTAAGTTCATCAACATGGAGAAAGTCCTTTGTTTGCTTCTCCTTGCCATCTGCTACCCAGGTATATATATATATATATATATATATATATATATATATATATATATATATATATATAGATGTGTATTCAAATGAGGACAAGTATATTATAGAGGACCGTGAGGACAAATATAGTGTGTGCCATTAGCCGGTATGTCATGTGCATGGCCGAATGTAGTCGTGTGCCACAGTTTGAATGTCGCGTGCTAGATTTGTTAATTTATAGAGCCTGGGTTCGAAACCTGATGTTTACATTTATTCTTGTGTGTCATTATTTATTAAGTTGTGTGCCTGGTATTAATTTATTGTGTGCCCATTATTTGTCCTCACAGTCCTCTATATATTGTTGTCCTCATTTGAACTCATATATATATATATATATATATATATATATATATATATATATATATATATATATATTTACACTTATAATTATTCTCTAAATTCCTTCACTAAAAAAAAAAAAAAAAAAAAAAAAAACAGACATCAAATGGGGTTAATAAAAAATTTTATCCGTGCATCGCACGTGCACGCACACTGCACGGATAATTGGGCAATTATTTGCTCGAATTCAAGCAAGGATAACATCAAAAAATATAATGGATACAATCCATTTCATCAATTGCACTATATAATATTCGTTGTTATAATTTATATTTGTATATTGATCAAAATATTCTTAAAGATTATAACAAATCTATTTCGTGCAACGCACGGGTAAAATTTAGCTGCAGTTGAGTCTGCTATATTTAGTGTTGTGAATAGCACAATTGTCTCATGTTTGAGATCTTCAGTACAATATTTTTCTATTCCAATGCTTGTTTAACACAATCTTGACCAACTAATTTACCATTAACACCAACTTCACTAATCCTTTTTTATGCAGATCATTTTCCTAATCATCCACCAAGGACATTTCTATGTGATGAGCGTAAGTTTCAAGCATTGGAGGTTTGACATAATTGACAACTCCTCCACTGTGAGGAATAACAAAGACAAATATGGTGAAGCCCCAGAAGATCTGGTACGTATGCCTAACCCATCCCTCTTGCTAGTGCACAGAACCCAGGAACAATTGTTTCTATCACATAAGTTCAGCTAAAATTTACAGTCTGCCCAGTTAGAGGAAAAAATACCAACGAAAGAAAAAGAATACTTCCAGGCGTCCGTTAGCCTTGAAAGTTTAGGTGGACATAGCCAACGTATCGTTCTTGCTGTCCAAAATAATTTAGAGTCAAAATATTATTTCCGGAAACGCAGAAAAAACTTTGAAACCACCCTGTTAATTGTTAAATTCTGAGTATTGTCTGTTGCATTCTAGGTTGTTTTCTGATTGATATCACCTTTGTTTTGCTACTAGTTCTGTTAAATAAAAAAGTTAACGAAAGAAGCCTGAACAACTTAAGGAAAAAAAAAAAAAAAAAACCAGTCAAAAGACTGAACATGGGTAGAACCATAGAAGCCGCAAGTGTAATTCGTACCAGTGACTAGCGCACTGCTGTAGAGCATTTAGATAACCCTGTTTGGTAAAATGGTTGTTAGTTGATAACTGTTAGTTGATTGGGTTAATCCGAGGGTATAACTAGTTGATAACATTAGCTGATTGTAGAAATGTGTTTGGTAAATTAGCTGTTAGCTGATAGCTGTTTGGTATAACTTCTTTTCTCAAAAAGCTAATTGAAAAAGTTGTTTTGAGCAGCTTTTTGAATTTTAACATTTTAAAGATACGAAAAGTTAATTAACCAAACACTTCTATTGATTTTTTTAACCAAATCAAACAATTAGTAGTGATCAAAAAGTCAAAATTGACCTATAGGCAGATTATTTTTACCAAACAGGGCCAAGGTCTCATGCGTATAATGGTTCAGTCACTACGGTTGTGGGGTGGGACGTCAAAGTGCATCCCAAAATATAATTGGCCACTCCAATGCATTACTTAACGAAATGGTATTTGGATAAGTAGCAAATAAAAATATAAACACTAGATTTAGTCCCTCAAATCCTTACTATGTACGTAGTTTTTGTTTATTTAACATTGATATTTGACTTTTATTCCATTAGACCTGGACACTTTTACACCAATAATTTGGATAGGCTCCAATTAAAAAAAAAATAGGGGGAGCTTCGGTGTGCACCACAGTGCTCTGCACATTGGAGTAACTTCAGCGATTAAATCTTTATCCCTAATCTCTCACACCTATCAGTTTTGTTGTTCTCACGATTCACCCTTTTTGTTGTTGATCGACCTGCTAGCGGCGTGCCTAGAGGACACCGCCAACCAGCCTATCCGTGCAATACACCTCCGTAACGTGCATCCGAAAGGAAAGAAAATGCACTGGCAGGGCGCATCTAACAAGGTAGACTCCGGGGTGTTTTCCATGCGTCATATGGAATCGTACATCAGTCAAGATTGCAGTGAGTGGGAGTGTGGGTTGCACAAAGGGGATAGCCAACAGATCAAAAACCTTCGCAAGCTTTTGATGCACAGCATCCTGCTAGCCGATGCTAATGTACACAAGGAAACCATTGCCACTCGCGTAGCCCGTTACGACCATGAGATGTCCTCACGATGTACTTAGTCCCATGTACGGAACTCAACAATAATAAGACGTGCAGCTGTAGAGTTGAGCATGCACCCGTACAAAATGCTATAGTGGGTTTTTTTGAAATTTTAATTACAATAAAACAGTGTGATTGGATAATCAAACTGAGTGCAAATAAGCTCTATATTTCTACTTTGCATGTGTTTCACTTACTTTGTTTGTGAAACTGGGTGTTACGTTGGGCTAAAAGGGACTGAAAAAAAAAAAATTAGCAGCCTATATGCTCATGTGGATAAAAAAGAAAATTAGCAGCTTATTATGTCCAACAGCCAGCCCTCACTGCCCACACGTCCTCATTGGTTTAGCGCTACGGTCGATGGCTTTCTCTCGGTTGCTTTTGGTACGTTTGGCACTGCCAAACACCAAACTATGCTTGCAAGAAAAAACCAAAAAACCGTAGAAAAGGAAGCAATAATGCAACAAACTGCAAACCATGGGGTGTAGACCCCTATTTTATCAATAACAAAACTATGTGAGCAGGATTAGAGAATAGTTTGCGTAGATTGTACAACTCAACAGTTATACAGAGATACAATAGACTTAGATGACTAGCCTAACTATCCCTATACATTAGCCAGTTACACAGAGATACAATAGACTTAGATGACTAGCCTAATTATCCCTATACATTAGCTACTGACTAAATCAAAGTCTAACTATACTAATATAATGTTACATTTAAGAATACTAAATATAACATGTCTAACACACCCCCTCAAGCACAAGGGGGTGGAGACTCAACGTTGAGCTTGTCTCGCAAAGTGGTGAACCGAGCCACAGGTAGAGGCTTCGTGAAGATGTCAACCAGCTGGTCTTTAGTTGAAAAAAAGTTCACTAGGAAGTCCCTTGACGCAACTTTGTCCCGGTCAAAGTGATAATCGATTTCCACATGTTTAGTCCTGGCGTGAAAATCCGGGTTAGCACACATATAGGTCGCGCCGAGATTGTCACACCATAACGTTGCAGGAGACCTAGAATGCAGTCCTAGTTCCCAGAGAAGAGATACGACCCATGTGACTTCAGCCGCCACATCAGCAAAACCCTTATACTCAGCTTCGGTAGATGAGCGCGCCACAGTATGCTGCTTGCGAGATACCCAAGAAATGAGATTCGAACCAAGAAAGACAGCATACCCACTAGTTGATTTCCTGTTGATAGGACACCCAGCCCAGTCAGAATCGGAGTAGGCGTGGATGTCCGAAGTCGGTGACGCCATAAGCTTAAGCCCTGTGATAGCGTACCCTTAACGTAGCGCAACACCCGCTTTAGAAGACCCTAGTGCTCGTCAGTAGGTGCATGCATGAACTGACATAGCCGATTGATGGCGTAGGAATGATCCGGCCGAGTGATGGTGAGATACTGAAGAGCCCCAGCCAGTCGGCAATATTGCATGGGGTTTTCGTAGGGTTTAGTCGTAGGGGATGCGGCCTGAGTGAGAGCTGCAGGTGTCGATAGAGGTTTGCAGTCGAACATGCCTGCCCGGTTTAAGATATCATCCATATAGCGGCGTTGAGGTAGCAGAAGGCCGCCCTCAAAAGGAACTGTTTCGATACCAAGAAAGAAGCTAGGAGTGTGACACTCTGTATTTTCCTAAAAATAATTATCGTCCTGATATTAAATATTTTATTAAAAATATTTATATATCTATTTATTTTAAAAACGGGCTCGGGTCTATCTAGTATCGTGAACCAGTGTTTTCATTACCCAAATGTCTTAAGCCCAAAAATATAAATATTTACTAAATGAGTCTTGAACCCAAATAACTAAGCCCATGAGTAAATATGTGTTATTATTTTGTATGTCAAAATATATGTATAGATGGTGTTTGACCCAAAAGATTTACCCAACCCAATTCTAGTCTAGCCCAAGACCAAGTCACCTTCTAAATCTAGATGTTGAGCCAAAATAGTAACCCTATCCTTAGCTTTAATATGTATGCGTATGAAGACCTAAGGAATTCAGCATATTCCTTCGGCTTTTCCTTAACAATCTAGCCGCACCAAACATCCTTCCTTCTCCTTTTCTTCTTCGAAAGCGGCAGAACAAGAAGCAGCCATGAGGTCACCTGTAGTGATAGTGGTAGCTGAGTCTTCCGGCTTAGAGGCTTTCTTCGCCAAACATGGTCAGTCCCGGCAAACCCCTCTTCTTCTCCCTCGATTTTCCGGTGAGTAGGGCGGTGGCAGTTCCGTAAGAGGGGGGCGGTGGGCAGCTTCGTTGGAGGCAAGATGTTGGCGGTGGTTGAATTTGGTTCTCCGGCTGCAAGCTGCGAGCTTTTCCCCTCCGGCGACCTTGGTGAGCAGCGGCAACCCTTCCCCTGTTTCTGGCAGTGGTTGAGCAGATGGTGGCGCAGCTCGGACAACGCGGCGACGTCGGTTTCGAAGCCCGGTGGTGTGGGTTCAGCGTTGGCAGCTTGGAAGTAGCGGCGTGGTGTCTCCTTCTCGACGGAATGGACGAAGCTCCTCGGCTTGGTGGCTGTACGTGGTGACCGATGGGTGGGGGAACTTACCGCCGTTCCACCCGCGGCCTTGCATGAAGAAGATGAAGATGACGATGGCATGGTGAGCTTCTGTTGTGTTGTGTGTTGCTGTTTAGCGTAGTATTAGTTAGTTGTTGTTTAATTATGTTATTAATTGAGTTATTAGCTTAGTGGTAAGGGTGGTGGTTGTGGTGGCATTTGGCTAGGGTTCCATTTTTACTTAAGGCATTAAGACAATTTTCGTATTTAATTTTAAGTAGTAAGTCCTATCTATTAAGTCTTGGTTATTAGCTTGCCTATTAGTGTTTATGGATGGTTTAGTGGGTAATTTAAGGAAGGACTAGAGTTTGAATCCCCTTATAAGTTTAATTAGTTTTAATTAGTACTTTTGTTAATAGTTGAGATCCGGTTTAATTTTCAGGTTCTCGTTGTTTGGCTCATGAGTTGAGCCTAGCCTAAGTTTGGCGTTGGATTTGGTTTGTTAAGCGAATGAGGTAACTCATGCTCTACAAAATCTATTTTGCTTACCTATATAATGATTTATTGGATTCTACATGTGATTTTGCTAAGAAATGTGAGTGTTAATGCATTGTGTTGCGAAAATGCATATCTAGAGCTTGTTATTAGGGTTCATGTATGTCATTGCTTGGCTATTCCTTTGATTCAAGTCATTTTGTTGTATTTGGTGAGATTTGGCATGTTTTGGACTTGAATTTGAGCTTGGAGTTGAAAATCCCCGAAGGGATAGTTTTGGTACAGGAGCTGTACCCGCGGGCGGAACGGCGGGTAGTGCACCACCCGCGGGGTACAAGGCCTCGTGGGAGTGGTTCCCTCGGGCGGAACCACGGGTGGAGGTCCACACGTGGCTCCACCCGCGGGTACGTATATGGTGTTGTTTGGGGATTTGTTCCCCGTGATTTTTTTGACTCGGTATTTGGTCTTTTGACTTCCCGATGTTCTTTTGTGGAACTATTTGAGTGTCTTCTTGATGTTTCGTATGTCTAGAACTATATGGCAGGAATCCATGTAGGTGTTGGTGTCTTGAATCGTGCTAAGTGTTCAACATTGTGTTTCGTTGAACCGTGATGAGTCTTGTGTGTTCTTCGGAACTACGTTTGGTTTACCCGTTTGATAAGCATGCTAGTTCGGTGTTTAAATGCTAGCGTGTGTGTTGTTTGTACCTTCCTTTCGTTGATGATAACTTGTGTAATTCATCGTTGTTGTTGGACTGTGATCCATTCCTTGGTTGAGTATGGTTTAATATCTTCGTTGTGATCCGTTGATTGATTCCTGTTGTGATGTGATGTGTGTGTGGCTGTACCTGGATTGCACGATTTTAGTTTATGGGGCCTTAATCACCAAGGTACGGCAGTGGTCCTCGTGGTGGCCATGACGCGATTATGGAGTTTATGACCTGTGTGTCGGGTTCACGTATTTCTTGGGAGGCATGTGTTGCCAAGGCGTGTGTCGCCGTGTGTGTGATCGGTACCCTCGTGTACTATGAATTGGTGGTCTTGTTGGTGGTTGTTGGTGGGGGACGACGGTCCGAGGAGGGAAAAGGTTGGACTCAGAAGTACAGGGGTCCTGGAGGTAATGGTTGGAACTAGATATAAGGTTGGTGGTAGCCATAAGGTTGGAACCGGGCATAAGGAAGGCATAGTAATTCGTGATGGGTGATGTCACGAAGGCTTGTGTAGCCGTTGTTGTGAGTTTCTCTTCATGTGACGTGTGTAGTCACAAAGACATGTGTTGTCATTGGTTGTGTCCTTATCCTCTTGTGTTATGCATGTCGGGTGTTAATTTACTGTGTGATGGTAGATTATACCTTGAGCCGTTCTTGTGAGTTGTTGTATCTCGTGTGGTCTTGGGATGTGTTCCCTTATCTTGTTGTGAGTGCTTAGAGTCTTGTGTTGACTTCCGCTCTTGGTTTTGAACATATATATGTATATTCCGTTTCGAAAATGATTTTACATACGTATATCCTATCTATGTATGATATTTCACATGTATTGGTGGGTTACCAGCATTATTCGCTGACCGGGCATCGTCCCATTTCTATTTGTTGCTTTACAGGTTGGGTAGCTTTGGAAAGCACGCTAGTGTCCTGTAGATAGATTAATCTCTTCCTTTAATAGTTGTTGAGGCCTGTGAGCCTAAGTAGTTGATTTGTTAGGCTCCTTAGTTGTAGTATCTGCCTGTGCACCTATGTTTGTTATAGGTGTGGCATAGAACCTTCCGGTTTGTTTAGTTAGCTTCCGCCTTGTTTAATCTTAATGAGTAGACTTTATCCCTTTTCTAAGCTTTAATGGGTTTTAAAAGTTGTTGAAAATCGGGGGTGTTACAAGGAGTCCCCAAGTCACGAATCTTGAAGGTTGCAGAGAGTTGAAGCAGCAAAGAAGCAACAAGATCCGAGTTATTCCCGAGCATGATTATATCATCTACGTAGACCAGTAAAAACACCAGGGAGTTATCAGCTTTGTAGTGAAACAGGGAAACATTAGTTTTGGATGATACGAATCCAATAGTCAATAGGTAGTCATGCAGCAGCTTGAACCAGGCTCTCGGAGCTTGCTTCAAGCCATACAGAGATCGTTGAAGATGACGCACATAATCAGGATGAGTCGGGTCTTCATAGCCAGGCGGCTGGCACATGTAAACGGTCTCCACTAAATGCCCATTGAGAAAGGCATTGTGGACATCCAGCTGACGCAGAGTCCAACCCTGTGAAACAGCAAGAGAAAGAAGCAGACGTACCGTAGTCGGTTTGACTAAAAGACTAAAAGTGTCAAAGAAGTCTTCTTCGGCAACTTGGTTGAACCCTTTGGCCACCAAGCGAGCTTTATACCACTCAACAGACCCATCCGCCTTGCGTTTGGTGCGGTATACCCACTTGGAGTGAGACACCAGGTGTTGTTATGCATGAGAGCATTAAACTCCTGGTCCATGGCATCATGCCACTGGGGATGCCCAACTGCCTGAGTGTAGCAAGTTGGGTCCGCAAAGGCTGTAAGAGCATGAAACTGTTCGCCTATCTCGCGTGTCATGTGACGAAGGCGCATGACGTGTTCTCTGTCCTGCGCCTGTGGCTGGCGGACCCGCCGTGCCACGGGTTGCACCATCTGCTGGGTTTGGATGGCCAGCTGTGGTTCCTGGACGGCTAAGGGAACCTCGTTGAGCGGCGGTGTAGGAGGTTCATACGGGACTATAGGCGCTGAAGCCCATGGAATGTCCGATTGCGTGACCGGGGTGACTACCCGGTCCTGTGAGCCTGTAGAAAAATGAAAGATAGTCTCGTCAAACCGAACGTGCCAACAGATAAAGGTCTTCCTAGTATTTGGGTCCATGCATGGTAACCCCTATAGGACGTAGGATAGCGTAAGAAAGTACAGGGTGCAGAGCGGTATTTTATCTTGTGACGATTGTAGGGTCGCAGATAGGGATAACACCTACACCCAAATACACAGAAGAGGGTGTATGGTGGGGATTTTTTGTAGATAGACTCATAGGGACTGACAAATTGCAACGCCGATGACGGTAGACAGTTAATGAGATAGGTCGCTATTTCAAATGCGTAATCCCAATATTTGACGGGAACTGAACTTTCGGCTAGTAGAGCTAGACCGGTTTCCACAATATGTCTGTTCTGGCGCTCTACGCGGCCGTTTTGTTCATGTGTATAGGCACAAGATTGCCTATGCACAATACCGTGTGAATGGAAAATGGCGTGCAGGCGACGATATTCACCCCCGAGGTCTGATTGAATAGATTTGATAGAACACGAAAACTGTTGTTCTACAATCACATGGAAAGACTCAAAGCATTTATAGATGTCTGATTTTAACCTTAATGGGTAAAACCAGCAAAAACGGAAGTGGTCGTCTATAAATAAAAGAAAATACCGAAAACCCCCAGCAGAAACAACGGGTGTCGGTCCCCAAATGTTAGTGTACACTAAATCGAGTACATTATTACTAGAATAAAAAACCCTATCTAATGGGAAACGGGATGACTTCCCAAGCTGACATGACGAACACAATTGGGACGAACTTAATTTTATTGAGGTGACCGGACAACCCCATAGAACACGCTCTTGAACTCGCGCATGAGGATGGCCAAGCCGATGATGCCAAACATCCGCCGACGCACGAGCAGTTATATACGCAACATGTGACAGAGACAGCGATAGCTTGTACAAACCCCTCGTGCTAGGACCTTTAAGGAGCACTACTTTGGTTTTGCAATCCTTCACAACAAAATTGTTATGGTGAAATTCAAAAAATACATTGTTATCGGCAGTGAAACGATTGACAGATAATAACTGAAGTGAAAGATCAGGGACATGCAAAATATTAGATAAACGAAGAGGTCTAGACTCGGAATACAATGATGCATGACCAATACCAAAAATCCCCAAACCTGAAGGCAACACATTGCCTCCAACATAGGACTCGGAGTGCGCCATCATCGTCGGGTCCGGTGTGGCATGGGACGACGCCCCGGTGTCCGGGAACCACGCATCAGCCGTGACCGCTGCCTCGTCGCTGGAAATAGCCGAATGCGCCTTTGGCGGTGGATGGCCGGAATAGCGCTGATGGTAGTACATTTCCGTGTGACCATGCACCCTGCATATCTGACAACGAGGACCGCCTCCGCCACATCCTCTTCCTTGGCCGCCACGTCCACGACCTCGACCCTGCGAGAAGCTCGACTGCCGATTGCCACCACCGCCCTCATGGTTCTGTCTGTAACCTATGCCAGCCACCATCGCCGTATGAGCTCCGCCGGAGGGAGTGAACTCATCCGCCCATATGAACTCCTGCGATTGAAAGAAATCGGCAAGTTGCGGGATGGACACCGGTGCTCCGGTCGTTGATAGGGAGGACGCCATACCACGAAATTTCGGGCGAAGGCCGCGGAACACGTAGAGGTTTTGCTCATCCAATGAGACCGGACGGCCGGCTAGCCCGAGATCTTCTACCAGAAGCTGTGCTTGACGAAGATACTCGCCGGAGAGACTGGAATTGAGCCAGCAGATTCAGACACCGCGCCCTGGTCGACGAGCCCAGAGCCGAGGTAATGGAAATCCATACTTCACGGGAAGTGCCTCAGCCGACAGCAAGGTATATAACCTCGTCGGACAGGGATGAAACGAGCAATGACAGGATCGATTGATCCTGTTGAATCCATTAGGCATGCGCCGAATTGGCCATGGTGGTGGAGGTTGTGCCGCCGGAATTCGCCTCACTGGTGGCCGGAGCGAGGATGACCGCCGGAGGATAAGGCGTGTCGCCATTCACGAATCCCAGCAAACCTTGCCCGCAGAGGAAAGGGACGAGCTACGTGCTCCAAAACAGGAAATTTTTGGTAGTTAGTTTCATGGATACGAAGTGGTTTGGCGTGGATAGGTTGTTTGTGGTGGCCGGCGGTGGTACAGCGGCGGCGGTGACCGTCCGCTCGCTGAAATTGGTGGACATGGTTGGGGAGAGAGAGAGAGAGAGAGAGAGAGAGAGAGAGAGAGAGAGAGAGAGAGAGAGAGAGAGAGAAACCTGGGCTAACTGATACCAGATTAGAGAATAGTTTGCGTAAATTGCACAACTCAACAGTAACACAGAGATACAATAGACTTAGATGACTAGCCTAACTATCCCTATACATTAGCTAGTAGTTACTACTGACTAAATCAAAGTCTAACTATACTAATATAATGTTACATTTAAGAATACTAAATATAACATGTCTAACAAGCAGTGATGCTAAATAGCTCTAAAAATACTTTCATATACCTGTTTGTGATATATCTAGCATCAAAGGAAATAACATCCCCGTAGTATGAATAATTTCTCCATGCAACTGGGTTGGCCCAAAAAAGTCGTGATAGCCGATTGTCTTCGTCAAGATGATATTCAAACAAAAAATTATCACACATATTATGCTTCTGGATGAGTTGTTCAATAATCATCTCGGCATCTCCAACCTCAACATACGCTTGAAGGTCCCGTTTAAAATTATGGAACTCAGTACTCGTAGCACCCACGTTTTCATACGAACCAACCAACACCTTGTACAACTGAAAGCATTTAGAGGGACCAATGTTTTCCATCATAGAGCTTGCAACAAATGCTTGTTGCCCTACATCTAGCCTCTAGTTAACCCTCATAAGTAGTTTCGAAGACTCAGTGCACAAAGGGTGGGTGTGTTTGTCATTGAAAATAGACACCACAAATTCGCCACTATTTATCCTTCGGAAACCGATCCTTGCATTGCACCCAACCCTATTTGAGGTCCGTTTCCTAGGTTGCTTGCGACTACCACCACCCACTACGTCTCCGGGTTAGGGGCTGCTTCTCCCACCCCCTTTAACCCCTTGACGGCTACAAACTAAATACCTCATGCTTATTTCACCATCCCTACCTCGCTTCACGGTACTCTGCCAGACATCAAACACACCCGTTCTCGCGTAGTTAATATACAACTCAATACCCTCATTTAATGTGGTAAATCGACGGCCAACAAACAGCATCAACACATCCTCACAGTTTGGGACCCAAGATTCAGTTGATACAGATTTTATCTCCATAGAACGGTGCGTCGGAACTCCATTCGTTAGATCACAAACACTATACACTGTATACAATTCTTGGTTATGGGGTCAGCAAACATTCCACCTACCTAGAAGGAAAAACTAACACAAACAAACAACAAAAGCAGTAAACACCAGTTACTACCCCTCAAATAAAGATACAAATTTATTGATTACCATGATAAAATATTGTAAAAACATTATTCCTTACAGTAATGATATATAGAAGTTGTTGGCATCACAATTCACTACATGTCCGTAGTTTAATTAATTCTTTAAAATCATATGCTGTGTACTCCTGTATATGAATCAAATGCAAGATATGTATCAATTGGTGAAAAAGTTTTGTGACTGCAAAGTTCTACTATCAACACCAGAAATGTGAATCAATTGCTTAATTATTTACTTATTAACCATTTCATGAGCAAGTAAAGATACAAATAAAACCACCAGCATCATGCATGGCATGTTGGTATGGACCGCACGGTGGGACACTCTGATCGAACTCCATCCTCGAACACCACCAGCGCCGTCCGGTCACTCAATCAGTAGAAACCCATCGCCAATCACGGAATTCAAAAGCGGAAGGGATACGATAAACTTTCAAACAACGCAAAAAAAAAAAAAAAAAAAAAAAAAAGGCAGGTGCTATGCCGTGAATACCCTCGTGCACTCGGGTATTACCTGATAGC